CTTATAGAGTGGGTCAAGTCTCGCTAAAGCATACAGAGTTGATTCTTCCTCCGCTACAGTTAATTTACACTGCCACATTGACGAAAGGACGCGGACAGACTCTACTACCCGAAAAGGTGCGAACAACCGGACAGAGCACTATGCCGTACTTATACCGTGATATGTTTCCAGAACGGACGAAAACTTGACCAGTGATGCAATATAAATACATGACTATATGAGATAAGCCCGTTGTTGTGGTACACTAAGGTTTCCTCATCTACCCGAACATCAAAATGGCTATTCGTTATATCTTTATAATAGCTAGTCTTATACTAGCCTTCGTTAAGATAAATGCTAAGAATTTGGCTTTAGGAAATTACGGATACATGCAGTTACGAAGATTCTTAAGCTCGAATCTAAGGGCTGGTAGCTCTGGTTAAGGGATGTAGAGGAGTGTATTTCTCTCATGTAGTAAAGCAAACAGTAACATTATTGTTCTTCACCGTTGAGAAGTCGTTGAGATAGTTTTGGCGGGAGAATTTAGCGTGAGCTTTGTCGTTTGTGTAATATCCCTGTACTATCACGGTCTTATACCTCGCCACGTGGTACTTGGCTAGTAACTGGAATACCCCCAGTCCTCTTCCAGAATCCCGAGAAATTCAATATATACCGCTGAGCACGCATGCGGGATGATCCTGTACAAGCGGACTTCAGCTTGGATTCGGACACGGGATGCATAGATGCCCTGGATACTTCTTTGCGGCTAACGAACTCAAAATCGCTCTATCTTATCTACTGTAAGACCACAACTGGGGGCAGTTAGTTTGATTAGACTTATGGGTCTTGCTTTTTGTAGTAAGGTTAGTATGGAGATCTTAAGAAGATTGTAGTAATGGAGTTAGTGTAACGTGACAGCTCGGCTCCACTGGGCTACACGACCCAAAAAGCTATGTAATGTACACGTGATGTCATTTGAGGCTAGGCTAATTAGGTCCATCTATAGGTGGTTGCCAACTACGGAACGCGCAACTCGACATTTCCGACCCCATCTTTTGTTCATAACCTCATACTCGATCCTCTCGTGTCACACTTGCATACATCGGGACTAAGGTCGTGCGAGGAAGCTTATACTCTGGTGACGCGTGGTTGTCTCGCCAGCAATCTTATCACATCACCATGCGCCGTTATGCAGAGACAACGACACTCGAACATGGCCTTCTAGGACCACTAGGATACTATACCGCGCCGAAGACTGGTTACACAAGTCTGCATAGCTGCCCGATACCAAGGTAGAGTGCCCAAGGTGAGAGCAGGCTGAGACTTTTTGGTCCAATGGAAAACGCCACAACTTATAAGCGAGTTGGTCCTTCAGCATACTGCGCCCCATACTTTGACACTGCAAATGCGTGTGGGTAGGTCTCTCATTGTGTGACACTAATTGGACCACTTATAAGTATGAACGTTGCATCCTATAGAATCTAGACACCGTCTCCACTAAGAGAACACCCGTTCACCCCGATCCGGACGCCGTCTATACGAGCTCGGGTCCGCTTGACCAAATTGGGACTCCGTGATATCGTCCAATCCTTCTCCAGACATCTGACGGATGCCTAGGAGTCACCTTGTTTATGCGACCACAACGGACGTTGTTCAGTCGCCACTCTACCTTACAATCTCCAGTTGTCTTTCAGACATTGCTGGCCAACCTTTTGTATGACATGTGAGTTTATGTATCCAACTACAACCACCTATACCAAGAAACAAGAGAATACAAAAGCGTAGACTTGTTGGTCTCAGACTACTACTTGAACGCTGATAAGGAGTGCGAAAGTCAGAAGGAGTCTGGAACAACAGCCTGTGTGATCGAGTATGTACTCACGGGTAACCGCCATTGTTGAGTCTAACGGCGAGTTTAGGCGGTGCATCAGTAATGGACCTCATCGATCGAGAGTATCCAACAAGCGACGACAAGCCTCCATGGTATGGTATGATATTCAAACAGTCAGTATATTCTGATGCCATGCTCGAAAGTCTCAAGAGGCGGTATCCGGAAGGTGCAAATCTGCGAGAGAGGAAGCATATGGCTGCCATTGATTTCCTACAACAAGAACTCAAGAATATGCAAGCAAGTGAAGCGGCTTTGATATCTAAAACCCGTCCAACAAACTTGATGCCTGAAGTAGCATCACACGATTGTCAACACCAGAGAACGGGATCACCGCCCTATTCGCCAACTGCTCAACTGTCACCTCCGAATATCACGGATGGATACCATGGTAGAAGAAGTCCTACAAACAAAGTATTCTTGGAACAGCCTCCAACCGTTCCAAGCAATGCTTCTGGACGAGAGATTGTTTTCAGTATTGCAAACAGACCCCTAGTGCAGCGCCAAAGGAGGAAGAAAATGACCGCATCAGAGAAGATCTCCTACAAGCAGATGAGGAAGATCGGCGCTTGCGATAGTTGCAAGCGCCAAAAAGCAAAAGTAGAAAGCCTGAATTCCTTATAAACAAGACTGGACTGTGCAAAGCTGATACGATGCAGTGCAGGCACGTTGGTGGTGAAAGAGACAGATACAGAGATTCTCGAGGCGCCAGTAGCACGCCACAAAGGTCAGTGACCTCAGGAATTGTTGAGCATATCTCACATAGAGTTCCAGAAATACTCGACCAATTTCCGACTCAGCAACACTAACAGCCAATGCAACGAACGAGCACAAACCGCAAGCTCAAGCTCCTCAGCACTTGCGAGAACTGTCATATGAGCTCAAACCCTCTCTTCAAACAGTGTCGATAGCAACGCCTGTCACTGTATCGGGGAGCCCAAGTCCACATTGGGCCCAAGATATGCAAGAGGGTGCACAGTCGGAGTTGTCTGGGTACGTACCTGCTCCAGCCACTTTAAATTCTTACAGTGCATACTCAAATGTTACATTTGAGAGCACTATTGATCCACAACTCCTGAAAATGGATTATCATGGCCCGGCTGTCTTCACCGAAGCGAGTGGCTTCTTTCCTATGTCTTTGACCCCCGGAACCACAACCTCTGGCAGTTTCTACTCCAAAAACACCCCAGAGTTTTGGAGCCCAGTGCAAGGATACCGCCCGGATGAGAATCCCCCAGGCTAAACAAATTTCAATTTCTCAACTAATCCATGGGTTTGGAAATGCATCATTCTCATGCATCGATAACTTGGTATAATTTCCATACTTTCAAAGCCACATTTGGACATGTTTTATAGTATCATCCGGAAGTCTCAACTGGATGTTCAAATGAAGCCATGGATCGAGCGACCGCCGGGATTTTCAGCAACATCCAAGGTTTGCAACTCTTTAGTCTTCTGCTAGTGTTTTCTCGTACGCTTTTCGTATGCTGCACTAGGAGAAGTTGCCACTCGTTCCATACCCACGGCATTAGGATGTCCTTGCCTACCGGTTATCATGGATTAGTCATAGTATCATCAACTACACGGGCGTTAAACATACAGACATGAGGATAGACCCTAGTGTACAAACGGGGCTCAGCAGCAGCAGCAAAGTAAGTTTTTCATCCTCACCTATTCCCCCTGCCCAACGCTACACGGTGACATTAAGGGTACATTGGTAGTACTAAGAACATTTCAAGGCTCCTGAACGAAAACCCACGTCACACATAACCTCTTTTCTTTCCTTTCATGGCCGTGTTATGGGCCATACATTCTTCTTATCAATGTACCGTTCAAGTCGTCTCCTTTTCTTTGCTTGCAGAATTTCTCCCTCCGTTAGTAGTGTCTTGCACTACTAATTCATTGGAATGTAATCCCTCTCGTGGCTGCCCGATGATTTCCACTCCGATACACTGGCCACATCATATGTTATCGCGCTGGATATTCTTGGTGGATCATCCAGCATTCGGTTCTCTTTTTTTCTCGTCTTCTTCTTTTCTTCAGGCCAACCTTTTGGTCTACATTTAGTTCTAAGATACACGTGGGTATCATAAAACGAACAGCTTTCTAATACGCCACTAAAATAGAGCGACATCACCGACCAGCCCTTTCAAGCGAGAACCATCGTTGCCGGTTAGTACGACCATGCCGACCCCTGCCACTGTGCAGACGGACACAATAACGTCAAATGCGGCATCAGCATCATGAAACGAACCATACGATACGATCCTTTTCATCAGAATCTACGACAAGACACATGACTTAACGACTTGACGCTTATGCTGGTTAGACTGGTACACTGATTTGTGAGGGTAATAGGCAGCGATAGGCACGTGGCTGAGATTAAATTGAGCTGATGGGTGGGCTGAGAGAGATGCAAATCTTTGGAATTAAGTTGTTCATTCAGTGTTTTCCTACATAACGAATATGCTCTTCTTTCGTAGGTCTTCGGTAGATAAAGAATGATAACCGATCTTTTGCATCGTGACCATGTGTACATGTTGTTGTGGATACGGAAAGACAGAGACGAAAAGCAAACGAGGCACGCTGGGACTACTGGCTCGACCAGGCAATGAATCTTGACCTAAGACACGACGTGTATAGCTGGTTAAACACACAGAAACTTTTTGTTTATCACTATTATACTTTTACTTGAGTAAGTACATCCCGTTAATCTGATAGTCGCCTTCTTCCACAATGTGATGACACCTAATCTGTCTTTGGTCGTGATAGAGATAAACACTAGCAATTGCCGGTTTCTGTGCTTGCATCCCACTGGGTGCAAAAGCAAGTAGGCAATGATCTAGACGAAAAACGTTAGCCCTAAAGCCGTCCGATACTACAACGCTACTAGTGACAATATTCCCCTCTATAACTTACCCTCCGAAGACTGTGTAAAGGAAGAAGTTATTGTCGGTCGGCTTCTGTCCAAGAAGTTTTCGGCATGCGGCTTTGCACTCGTCTTGGCTGTTTTGCTGCACACAGTACTGGTTGCCGTTGAAGAAAACACAGCCCGCAGCACCTTTGCGGAGACAGCTATCGTGGACATTAAAGCAGCACGAGCCGAGAACTACTATCTAGCGCGGTACTGCGGTTAAGAGGAGGACGGCCACAGTGGCGAGGAAAGTAAGCTTAGCCATTGTAGGAAAGAGGGAATGTTCGTTCCGGGTGACGGCGTGTCGTTTTTTCGTGACTGGAATGGCGTCACGGGTCGTGAATAGTTGGGTTTAGTGAGGAGATGGAATGGCGATGGCTGCCGATTGGAAGTGCAGGTCCATATACTTATATTACAGATATTTCTTCCTCACATACTAGTGCACTAGGTTAGCCTCTTGGGATACGCCTTGAGATCTAAGCATAAGCATCCAAGACGGATGCGAGTAGAAAAGACGCTCAGTGTTCACAACTAGAAAGATCGCGGTTTTGGCAATAAGTAGGGTCGAGAGTAACTAACGTGCTATATGAATGATGTGAAAGTTGGTCTACTTAGCACAGACCAGAGGCTATTCCCTAAACCTATGCCAAGAATTTTTGTGAATTAGAGATAAATTGAATTAGGTAACCTAGAAGCCAGCAAAGATAGCACTGTGTTACAAGCAACAAGCAGAAGGATCCTCTCCCTGGGTATGACGATGAATGGTTGGGAAACCACTGGGGATCCCAACGGGCATGATCATCGCG